GCAACTTTCAAGCTTCAAATTAATTAGTCAAGTATTTGGAGCAATATTTTGGGCAATTTCTTCAAGTTTCAACATTTAATCACGGTGCACTCGTTCCATCACCTAATTTTAATATATAATTTTTGCGTATCATTTTAGTGCTTAATTTTTGTGTTTACTTTACGTGTTCTATTTTCGTATTTCATTTGTGTGTTTAATTTTTGTGTTAGATTTTTTAATTTAATTTCGTATTTAAATTATGGCATCTAAAAATGTATTTGGTATGTTTAAAAAAAGTAGTAAAAAAATAGTAAAGGTGAAAGTAGTAGTAATCCTAATCCTAACCCTTCTCCTAGAATTAGAAAACATATAGATGAAATGACTCATGTTGATGAAACTTCATTTTTCCAACCCCCCGCATGTTATAATATTAATGTCGGAGAACAACTAGATCATGAAACTTTACAAAGACAATTTGGCAATAATAATTACAAAGAAGCTATATAGGAGCTTACAAATATTAGTATGATAATTTGTAATTGGCTACTAACAGGCCTAGTTCAAACAGAACCCTTCCTAGAAGGTGGCTGCGTAGATTAGGTGCTCTTCAAAAGAATTATATTTGTATTTGAGATTTGAAAGTTCTATTAATAAAATAAAAGGCTCTAAGCGTTAATTTTTTTTATGAATTGTCTTAGTTACTTAATACTTTGAAATTATATTAAATAAATTATAACTCTATTATAAATTTATAATTACTAGAATATTTCATCACAAGTCTTTTCTTTTAATATTTTATAATTCTTTACTTAGTTTTCTAATTTCCGTTTAACATTTAAGTTTGTTAAATAAATCAAAAAACTAGCCGTTGCAAACTTTAAAAACTTAGTCATTTTCAAAAAACTAGACATTTTTTTTAAAAAAAAAAAACTACACTTAAGGCCCACAACCCGTCCCATCTCGTCCCGTTTCGTCCCGTCCCGTCCCGTTTGTTAGCGGGACAGGATGGGACGACCGTTTCGTCCCGTTTGTCACGTCCCGTCCCGCTTAAATGTCGTCCCGTCCCGTCCCGTCCTGTTGGACAACCATAGCCTTAGACGCCCTCCCATCAACATGAAGAGACTTATATACGTCAAGTTGAGCTTCGACATGAACCCACAACTCATATAAATCTCGAGGCACGACAGGGTCAGCCAAAGCATGGGATGTAGAGGGTTGCGACAGTCGTCGCACGTCCTCCGCCTTCAAAGTGGCAACTTGTTCATTTAATGCGGACAACTCCGCCTCCAGATCTCGGATACGTCCCTCAAATCTCGCTACGTTAAGCGTAGATGTCTCCACCTCCTTGTCCCGTTCTGATCTACAAACACGAAGGGCGTCTTCTAGAGTTGCTGCCTCAGAAACGACAGTTGCCCTATCCCTTTCAGCATGAGCCAATCCATCAGCATTAGCACTCAGCTCTCCTCTAAGGTCGACGACCTCCGCCGCCTTCTTGTCAAGCTCGGCAGTTAAGTTGGCCACCTTCACTTGGAGGTCGGCATTATCGGCCATCACCCCCTTACTCAGCTCGAGCTCATCTTCCTTGGACTTAAGGGCCGCCTCAAGTTCATCACAACGGGCAATGGCCTTCATCAGGTCCTCATCTCGCTCTCTCAGCTCCTCGACCTTCCGCGCCAATTGATCCTCCTTTTACTTAAGCCCGTCACGGAACAGCTGAAAGTCGCTGTCCTGAGTAAAGAGATCGGCCAACACACGATGTTTGGTACGCTATTCCTTATATTTGGTGGTCACCTTCCCAAAAACAGTCGTCCTCCGCCTATCCCTACGTTCACGCTCGATCTCCATGATGAGGGTCTAGTATGAAAAGCAAAGTCAAAACAAAGAATGGGCTAAGGATACAAAACAGATCCAAAAACGAAAAGAAAAGAGAGAAGCATTTACCCGCAGAGCCATGCCGGAAATGCTCCATGACAACTCTGCATCGTTCATCGCCTTAAGTGCCGCACTCTCAGAAGCAGCGCACAAAGGGGCAAACACCGACGCTGCATGCTCGCAGTTCGACAATAAGTCGTAATCTCCAGGGACGACGATGTGTCGGTCAAAACCCTCCGTCCTTACTTCTACACGAGTATGACGTTCCAAGAACTCTCGTACATCTTCTGGGTCGACGTCCGAACCCAAACCGTCGCCCTCGGCGTGTACGCCTCCTCCAACGACAGACGATGCGCCACCCTCGGCGGAGCGTACAGATCCCCCTCCTTGGTATATTCCTTCGGTCCGGGGAGACCTTCCTGCCAAAATGGCATCCGCCATAAAAACAGGCACAGGTGCCGCCTCCGACGCACCAGTTCTGTTCTTTCCAGTATCAGTGGCAACGGCCTTCCTGAGTTCTACCCTCCTCCTTTTCCTCGACGGAGATTCGTCCCCATTGGAGGGCTCATCCATGAGGTGATAGACTGGTCGGGAGGATATCTCATCCCGTACAATCACGTCACGAGAAGAGTCTCTAGCTTGTACGGATTGAGCACGCCCCCCTCGGACGGACTTAGCCAAGGCAAATTGCATCCCTGCTGATGCGATGGCCTGGCGAAATGCAGAGACTGGGGCCTTCTTCCTCGAAGCCCTACGACCTATCATCACAAGGAGTCGTATCAATAAACGACAACAAACATCCAAAGGTCAAAACAGAGGAAAACACTTAAAGCGGTCCAATCTCGAGTCCCCACCACGTAAGGTAGTACACGGGCTACCCAGTCCTTTATACCGACGACGGGACGAGGTGTACGCCTCACAGCTCCACAGGAAAGTTACAAATAAGTACAAAGTTGGAAAGAACGAAAGTAAACAACAAGTACCAACACCTACGGTTATGATTCCACCGATACGGGAATCCAGCGGGGTCCGACACCAAGTGCTCGGTTCTAACGAAAAAGTATTTATGCCAAAATTTGCGGCTTTCCCGATCGTCTGTTCCGACCACCAGCCCGTTGGTCCCACGATGCCTCAAGTGTATCATAGTGCCCCTGTGAAAACTAGGGAAAACCAAATGTAAAAAGTGATGAAGGCCAACTTCACACCCCGCCAACTCCGCATACTTTGTCAATACTAGAAATATCTTATACGTATACGGAGATAGTTGCGCCGGGCAGACCTCATAGAACCGACAGAATTCCTCTGCTAATGGAAGAAGAGGGAGGGAGTGGCCGATCACAAAAGGATATACATAAAAAGCACAATATCCCGGTCTATTGACCTCTACGAGGTCCCTCTCAGCCGGAATCATCTCGACATGGGGGGGGAATGTTGTACGTAGATCGAAGGTCATCTATATGAGCCTGCTTAGTCTCAGAAACCACCGGAGCGGGAGAAGGGACATGTTCTTTAAGAAAATCATTCCGAGACTTAGGGTTTCTCGGTAGTATCTCCTCCACGGTGGGAAAGCTGTACCCTTCCTCTACTGCCATATCCTCACCACCAGAAGGAGGTGCCATGGATAACAGGGTGGCGTCAGAAATCTCTTCGTGTGACCGATGTGTTCTGGGCATCTCGATGGCAGAAGGTATGTTGATAAAACGCAAAACAAAGAACGATGGACGGAAGAAATGAGCAGAAAAATCACGAAAACAGAGCTGAAGACACAAGAAGAGATGACCAAAGAAGATAATACATACACTAGAGAGGAAATGAATAAAAGTTCTTGAAAAAACAACCTTCACCTATTTATAGGGTTGGGTGGCACCAGAATCGAAGCGGAAGGCTGCCAATGGCACCAAAACCAAAGCTACAAGCAATCAGTCTCTGTCTCGAAAAGACGCGTAATGATGACGCACGTGGGAGTGACGTCATTTCCCGATAAGCTACCCCATACAGGATACCGTGGAGCGCACCGCTCTTTCGTTATTAGTCAAACTGTTATAATTCAATAGCCATATTTCTTCGCGGGTACAGGCGATGTCCGTTTATTAAGGACGCACAGGACCGCGACCTCAACAAGCGGAGGGACTAACTGTATGGGTCCAAATTTAGCAACCACGACCATTACCTAGTAGGACGAGGAACGAGGTTATCGTGATGCAACTTCTGATGGTCGTCGTGGTGAAAGGCAACGATCAAGGGCGGTCAGTCGATGCACAACGTCCACGATAGCGTAAGCTTAGTAGGAGACAGTAAGAATATGCTTTTCGAATATTCTCTATGTTGTATTTTTTAGGGTTTTTGGGGGGATTGTCCCTTATAAATAGGAAGAGTGAGCAAAGGAATGTGGGGACGGGACAAAAAAGACAAAAGAACACTTTGTTAAAGAATCATCTGAGAGGGAATACAAAAGCAGCCTTGTTCATTGATTGCACAACCGAAAATTTATATCATTATACGATATCGAGAAGATCTTAAGATTCCACAATCATCTCATTCTTATTCCTTTTCTAAGCCAATCGCATTTATTAAGATTGATTGTGCATTTAAGTTATCGCATTTATGAGCATTTATTTGACTCCAACATATTAGTGAACATCATTCATCTTGCTTACCTCTTTCATCACTTGATCTAGATTTTATTATGCTTGGCTAAGATTTACCTCATCATCATCATTAATTGATTTAATCAAAAAGGTTTTGATATCAGTTGGTCAAACAATTGGCCTGATAATTCCCGTGACAGCTCAATTAAAAAGGTTAATCCCCTTATAAATGATACCTTATTATTTTAGTGTTTTATCTCGAAATTATTAATAATTAGATTGTATTCCCCAAAGGAGCAAAGAATAGCTCAATTCTTTAAAGGAGTAAAGAATAATTCAATTCTTTAGTGACTTCTCAATCTATTGAGTAGTCAAACTCCAAATCTTCAACTTTACTTAACATCCTTTAAAATATTGAAAAACAATAAACAAAAACAAGAAAAGAATGAGAAAAATAATTAAGTATAGGAAGTGCACGTACAGTTCCACAAAAATTAATGGTCGTCATGATATTTCTTTCAAATCAAGAATTTAATTTTTAAAAAAAAGTCAAAAAGAAGCATAATTTCTGCAAAATTCACCACGTTTCTCTTACTTCTGATAAATATGCCATTTTTCCTCCTTTGAAACTCCAAACAAGAAGAAACACTAAAGCAGGGGAAAAGGAGACAGACCTTTAAAACGTCACCGTTTTAGTTCTCCACTTCCTCCTGCTTTGTTCATTTCAATGGCTGAACAAAATTCAACGAATAAGAAAACAATTCCACCATATATGAAAGCACTTTCCGGTTCATTGGGTGGGATTGTGGAAGCCAGTTGTTTACAGCCCATTGACGTTATCAAAACTCGGCTTCAATTAGACCGGTCCGGTTCTTATAAAGGAATTGTTCATTGCGGTTCGACAACTATTCAGAATGAAGGCGTACGGGCTCTGTGGAAAGGTTTGACGCCGTTTGCTACTCATTTGACTCTCAAATATGCGCTGCGTATGGGTTCCAATGCGGTTTTGCAGGGAGCGTTTAAGGATTCGGAAACGGGTAAGCTTAGTCCACAGGGTCGGGTCATGGCTGGTTTCGGTGCGGGTGTTCTTGAAGCTCTTGTTATTGTCACGCCATTTGAGGTTGGTTAATTTCCACATTTATCTTGTGATTTTAGTTCTTCTGAATTCATTTATTAGTTTTGCTCGTATGGCCAATGATTACTTACCATTGGTAAGTTTAAAGTTTGAATTATTTCTAGAAATAGAAAGTTGTCATTTTTCTTGGACAAACTAAAAAGGAAATACGATCACATAAATTAGGACGGATGGAATACGTCAGCTGAGACTATCCAGTCACCTGAAGCTTCGTCTCGTTTTGCCTAAGTGTGTTAGATTTTTCTCTTGGTGATATTGCAGCTTGAAGTACTGATAATAACAAGGAGATGGTTCGAGACAAAGAGCTAAGTAAACTAAAACTAACCATAAAAAGTGTAGGTAGAAGATAAAGTAATTGAACTTTACATGCAGAAATGATTCTGCACTGTTAAAACAGAGTGATTTGGATAGAGGATCAATAACTTAGATTGGTTTTGGATTGTTTTCATACTTGCAAATGCCAATTAGAAGCTTATCAAGTTGGTACACCAATATGTTAATAGGGTGTTTATTTTAAAGGTGAGTTTTCATTCAATCACTTGATCGCACTACCAAATACTGCTTCAAAGTCTGTAGCTATATTGTTCCTGTCGTTCCTGAGATAAGTTCCTCTAGAATATGACATCTAAATTGCTATAACAACAAAAATATATAAAAGCTGTTACAATGTGGTAGACCTGAAACAAAGAATTGAACATGTGTCTATATTCTACACTATTAGAGTTTGGGCACCCATAGTTTGGACTCATTTCAGATTTTTGTTTTTATTTCTTCGAACAAGGCAAAAACATAGGACAAAAATTATCCCTTAAAATCCCAAATACATTTTCTCTAGAAGAATGGATTAGCAGGGTCTTTGTCCTTGCCTTCTCCTAGAACTGAGGTCATTTCTGTGCTCATGTACACTCACCAAAGACTAGGCTTAGAATGACTTATGATCTCTTGATCATCGTTCATTATCACTCATAAGGGATGAGAATTTTGCTGGTAATTAGGCCACCCTTCCTCTTTTTTGTACAGGAAGAAATTAAATTTTCATTTTTATACTCTCTTTTCTCATATTTGCTGCAGTCATGTGATAGATAAGTAAATATGCTAATTCCTAGCAAATGAAGGAAGTAGTTTATACATAGTAGTGTTTCAAAAGTTGCAAAAACTGAATTATCAATCTTCTGGTTAGATTTTACTGTCATTTCTCTGCAATTACCTGCACTTCTCTAGAAAAATTATGTCTCAACTCTCAACTCCCAAATTAAGTGTCAGTTTTATTTTAGGTTGTCTCAGCACACCACCCACTATTTGATACTTTTCTACTCATTTTTATTAGTATATGAATGGTTGGATTTCACATTAGACTACAAATCCTTCAATCTATTGACTTCATCTCCAATTGTGGAACCACTTTTGTTTGCATAAAATTTCAACTGACATTAATACATAGAGTGGGACAATTAATTGAATGATATGCTGGTTTATCCACATAGTGGAAGAACATTCTAATTATCCATGTTTTCTAAATTTCAAACAAAGCCATGAATAATTTATCACAGAATGACTGGTAGGTATTTGATCAGATGGGGTTAAACTGAGGTTCTGTGGAAACCATATATGCTCAGTGCAGACCGTAGCTGATTTATGTGGTTTTCCAGTTGATTAAGCATATTTTGCCAATAAATGGCCGGTAATTTATAGTTAGGTTTAAGGGAAGGGGTTTATTTCTTGAAGAATTAAGGAAGGAGAAAAGCCTTGCTAGTGAAAAGAACATATATTAGGATCGATGATTGTAACATTTGTTAGTTTGATTATTCTTATTCCAAAATAGGAATTTTGTAGCCCAACTGTGAACAAAGCAATTGTAATAAAAATATATGTATTAGGAATTTTCTAGTTCATTCAAATTAATAGATATGCACAGAAGTATTAGTAGTTCTACTATTATTATTTGTGATTAGTGTTGATCAACTGCCCAATGAGTTGAAGGCAGGCAATAAAGTGCCCAAGAAGGACGTAAGATAAAGCCGATTCACCAAGATAGAAGAGGTCCTTAGCTAAGTGGAGTTCACAGTTTGATAAAGGGTGCTTACCCTGTGCAGGAAGTGCAAGTGCTCCCCGGTTAGCGTGGGGTTAAGGGGAGAATCGGTGTATACCATACTCACGATTCTCCTTGGATAAGATAGATTGGATCAAGAAAACAAGGCTTAGGGAAAAAGAAGCTCTGGAGTGTCGCTTCACAATTAACTAGACTGAGAAATCAAAGTTTAGATATGGATATGCAGCTTTAGTGCCTTGTAAGAAAAAAATAATAATTGGATATGCAGCTCTAGTGGGGGTGTTGGAATAAGAACACCAGGTTGGATTAGAAAAAATTAGAGGAAATAGAGCAAGATTGCTGAGCTGAAAGCTTATGCCATGGTTACAACACAGCAAAGAGCATTAGAAATTTAAGTGCTACAGAATACAGTTGAAAATAAATATAATATCAAAATGTCAAGAGCGATTCAAAATGGTGCTAAGATGAAGAAGAATTAGGGAGAGTGGGACAAAGGACCAATTTGTTGCTTTTCCATATAATGTTCCTTTTAGGTGGTGGAAAATATCATTCACTTTGGATTTTTATTTGTTTGTTGGCGAAGACTCCTGTAAATAGCTTGGATTTGTGACATCCGGTGATTCATTAATGTGAAAAAGAATAAGATGACAGAGCAATAAAGGGAGCAGAGAGGACTAACGCTATTTATCGTACAAGGGTATATTAGCCACCTGTTCCAAAAGAAAGTAGTGGAACTTGGATCAACAGGCAATAGTCTTCTCTTTTTAAGATACGTAGTGGCTCATTCTTTGAATTGTGAGGTGTATGCAAATTTACCAATAGAGAAGAATTTGGTGTAGTTGAGTCCAAGCACTCAAAAGTTCTGTGACATATTCAGCCAACACTTTAAACAGATTTTGTAAAAGCAGATAGGAAGAAATTTGCCTCACTGTGATACATCGGAGTTGACCCAGCTTTATCATAGGTTTTATCAATTTACATTGACAACCATCCATTTAATAGAAATTAATGTTACAGAGCAACTCATATTGTCCTTCAAGTTTGATATCCTCTTTTGAACGGAAAAGAGAGCTGAGTTGATGGTGATGGATACCTAGTGATTCCTGAGGAGTATGGAAGGGTCCTCAAAGGATGTGGAAACATTTGGATGGAATACTTATTTTTAGCTTAACTGTGATGCTTCAACCTTCAGGGCACGTACAAATTGCTTGTATTCTGCACTGTACATGTGTTTCACATTTTTTGACAGAAGTCTTTAAAAGCTAATGAAAGCATCTGTAAAATGATTAAACTCTGGTCCATTTGTATATGCTCATTTGTTGAGCTTTACTTTCATTTTCTACTGATGCTAGGCTTGAAGTGGAATAACGTATTCGTGGTTCCAAACCGAAGGTTGTCCTGTATCACTTGTCTGGAATAGCATCTACGTGATATTAATTTCTGGTCATTTGCGACTTTGCATAATATTGGCATTACTGCTAGCATTTCTAAAATGGAATAGCATAGAAATAGACTTTTGAAAGGGAAGTCAGCTTAAATCACTAAAAGATTGTCAAACTTTGGTAAGTGCAGGTGGTGAAGATTAGACTACAGCAGCAGAGAGGATTAAGCACTGAACTTTTGAAATACAAGGGACCTATACACTGTGCTCGTATGATAGTTCGTGAAGAAGGCATTCTTGGTCTCTGGGCAGGTGCTGCCCCAACTGTTATGCGCAATGGGACGAATCAGGCCGCCATGTTTACAGCCAAGAATGCATTCGACACTATGTTATGGAAGAAAAATGAAGGTGACGGAAAAGTTCTTCACCCCTGGCAATCTATGATATCAGGATTTCTGGCAGGTACAGCTGGTCCCATATGTACCGGTCCATTTGATGTTGTGAAAACAAGGCTGATGGCTCAGAGTAAATCTGGGGGTGAGTTGAAGTACAGAGGTATGTTTCATGCCATCTCAACAATACATGCAGAAGAAGGATTACGTGCCTTGTGGAAGGGGTTAATTCCCCGGCTCATGAGGATCCCACCTGGTCAGGCGATTATGTGGGCTGTGGCTGACCAAATAACTGGCTTTTACGAGAGAACATATTTGAAAAATGCACCTTTATAGGTAATACTGCAGTTTTGTCCTCGCCTTTTCTTCGTTCTGGTTCTTAGTTCATTTTTTGGCAGAAGCTCGGCAAATTTTCCTTTATAGTTCCTTTGTCTATTGATTTAACGCGTAAAAATGATGGTTCTACACCTTATCCACATTTTACTGAGATGCCTCAACCTTAACAATGTTTGTTTGGATTATCTCGAGCTTTACAGGCTGGGGAACGAGTTTTGCAGTGAAATTAACAGTTTATGAAATCCCAACTGGTCAGATTGAAGTGCTTCAGAACATTGTTAATTTTTTATCCTTGTCAAAAAGGAAAAATAAAAGACATTTCTTTTTTTTTTCTTTCTTTTTTTAAATAATAGTCGCTCTAGTATTCTCCAACTTTGACCGGAGAAAGTTACTGGTAACAGTTCCATTCCTTTTTCAAATAGAGCAGCTGAAGAAGTATAGCTGTACAAAAAATTCATATTTCAAACCAGTTATGTCTATTTATAGGTCGCTCATTACAAAAATTGGCCAATTGATAAAATATTACTAATATTAGCCAAATTAGCCAATTAGCTATTTGTAGCAAAAATATATCAAATTTTTGCTTTGTTTTGAGTGAGTGTTATTAGAATAGATTGGGCACAAGTTAAGGAGCTTGAATCTCAGTTTTGGGATGATTTGGTGAAGTTTTGAGGTGGTTTGAATTGAAAATTCGGTAAAAACTGAACATGAAAAAAAATGATGTGTATCACACTGCGTATTATTTGTGTATTACATATGTATCATATTTGTATCTATTGTGTATCACATATGTATCATATTTGTATCTATTGTGTATCACATGTATATCCATGTATACCTATGTGTGAGATACATGCGTGATACATGTATGATACATGTGTCGCAGAAGACTTTTTTGAACACGATTTAATTACGAATTTTGATACAAACCAGTCCAAATCACCTCCAATCTTCCTCAAATTTTGTATATTGACTTATCTATATATTTTCAATGAATTCAACTATACCCATTGAAAAAGTTCCGTTTTTGTTTAGATTTTTGGAATATTGTATAGATTTTTGTATTTCATCACCTTATTTGCTACCCGTCCATGAAACTTTCCTTTCCGTCTTGTATCTAGTGTTGCTTAAAAAATATGGAAGGTGATTTTTGCATGTGATTCTTTGAGAGAAAGAACCCTATTATTTGATTTTTTTAATTTTTGTTGGCTAGTTTTGGTAAGTCTATGACTAATGGCTAGAGGTAAGTTATAAATCTCAACTTACCAACCTCTAGCCATTAGTCATAGACTTACCAAAACTAGCCAACAAAAATTAAAAAAATCAAATAATAGGGTTCTTTCTCTCAAAGAATCACATGCAAAAATCACCTTCCATATTTTTAAGCATGATTAGCAACACTAGATACAAGACGGAAAGGAAATTTCATGGACGGGGTAGCAAATAAGGTGATGAAATACAAAAATCTATACAATATTCCAAAAATCTAAACAAAAACGGAACTTTTTCAATGGGTATAGTTGAATTCATTGAAAATATATAGATAAGTCAATATACAAAATTTGAGGAAGATTGGAGGTGATTTGAACTGGTTTGTATCAAAATTCGTAATTAAATCGTGTTCAAAAAAGTCTTCTGCGACACATGTATCACGCATTTATCACACACAGGTATACATGGATATACACAATTGATACAAATATGATACATATGTGATACACATATCATTTTTTTTCATGTTCAGCTTTTACTTCGAATTTTCAATTCAAACCACCTCAACACTTCACCAAATCATCCCAAAACTGAGATTCAAGCTCCTTAAGTTGTGCCCAATCTATTCTAATAACACCCACTCAAAACAAAGCAAAAATTTGATATTTTTTTACTAAAAATAGCTAATTGGCTAATATTAGTAATATTTTATCAATTGGCCAATTTTTATAATGAGCTACTTATAAATGGACATAGCTGGTAATTTCCCAATATCTTATTCAACATTAGTTCTAGGGGTGTTCATGGTTCGGCTTGAATCGGTTTTTCCCTAAAAAGAAACCAAACCAAGTAAGTCGATTTTTCAAATATTTGAACCAAACCAAACCAATTAAGTCGGTTTTTTCTCGATTCGATTTATGTCGGGTTTTGTCGGTTTTTCGGCTTTTTCGGTTATTTGTCGTTTTTTTTTCTTAAATATAAGACATACACTACCAAACACATATTCCGGCGACCACATTTTCAACGTAACACTATCAAATTAGTTGCCCTTTGAGAAATCTATTATTTACCAAGATATATTGATGATAATTGAATCAAATAGTGATGAATAATTTAAGGACTCAATTAAAAATATATTATTTTTAACACGAAATGGATTCTTACACTTAACAAAAAAAAAAAAACTACCAATCAAACTAGAATGTAAAGGTAAAGAACTATACTAAAAGTGCAAACTATTAACATTTACCATTAAATTTTTGAAACTTTGTATAAAAATATACATATATATAGGTGTAACAATAAATTTGAAATAGCTACTCCTATAGTCGGTTTGGTTCGGGTTTTTCGGTATTTTTTCTGATTAAAACCAAAACCAAACCAAATTTGGTCGGTTTTTAAAATTCAAAACCAAAATCAAACCAAACCAAAAAGTATCGGTTTTTTTGCTCGGTTTAGTTTGGTTTTCGATTTGGTTCGATTTTTCGGGTTTTTTCTGAACACCCCTACTTGGTTCAATTGGTTCAAGAACCTTAGTATGCGTGACCTTAAAATAATACGAACATTTGACTAAATGATGAAAATACATATTATTATATTAATGCAGTAGCTAAATTCAATATCTTTTGAAAATTCTAATGAATTTAGTTAAATTAGGCGTATAGAGATAATGGCATATAATTAATAGATAACTTTCAGCTTTATTCTAATTTATGAAGAAATTGTTTCCATGTTTCCGAGAGAATAAAAATTAAATCCATATCTTTAATTTGTAAAAATTTAAAAATAAATATGTAAACCTATTCGGTATATTCCAACAATGAAAATGTTATATTAATTGTTGAATCCCAAATCTATTCCACTTTTTCCTTTTTTATCCAACAATAATAATGTTACATCAATTGTCGAATTTGATTCTTATACGTTAAGATAAGGGACGAAGGATATTCATGGTAGTGCAGTTAGTATGATCGCTATTTCCTGCGCAACCCTTTTTATTCACGGCAATATAACATTACTACTGAAAGCTAACCGTAACACCTAGAAGATTTATGAATAATTAATTGGTTAAAATTTAATAACAAACAAAAAATACTCCTAAACGTCTAAACCTTAAGGAAGTTCAAAGTGCTCGAAAGCTTCCTAACGTGATTTTCTATGTTTCTACTTTCCATTTATAAATTCGGTATGTTACATACTTCTAACAAGGAAAAATATAATAATTCACATTTTAGTTAATTACTTAAAAATAATGAAACGACTATTGTGTTCACCGTGAACTCTTTTTTTTAAGGATAAAAAAAGCGAATGATATTTCGCCAAAATTCTTTCCAGAATGAAATAGAATCTTTCTTTTTCAGTGTATAAGGTTAACAATTGTAGGAAACTCAAAGTGACAAATAGATAGTAGACATAAAAAATCCTATATATTAGTTCATAAAAAATATTAAATATCAATTTTATAATTTATATAGTGATTATTATTACTATTTTATGTTGAACACGTTTGAAGCTTTTGGTTAAGCAGTCTTCGAAGTTTATGTGCCTTTAGTCCTTTATTAAACACCGTATACAAAAATATTCCTTTTTGCAATTCAAACTGCAAGGTGATAAATATTAGGTAACGTAACTTAGAATTATAGTGGTAGCTATATTACCTCGTGAAATAAGATAATACTTATGTGTAAGTTAAAAGTTCTAATTCATTTTAAAGTTTTAAATATTAGAAGAAAACAACTATTCCTAAATAGTAGGAAATTATTAGTAAATAAAATTTTAGTTGACTGAAAAGTCCTAAATATTAGGAAAATAATTAAATGACTATTCCTAAATATTAGGAGATATAATCAAATGACTATTTTATCTAGTGTGAGCTCTATTTTAAAGGGATAAAAAAGACGAACGACATTTCGCTAAGGGGCTTCGTGCTTTTAATATAGTACTAGTTTCTATAAACGTGCGTTGCACGTTAATAATGGTACGCAAGGGTTAAGTCAATTCTTTATACAAAGAAACATCAAACTTAATTCATGAGAAAATCATATATATAGAGGAAGTGAAAGAGTTTTCATAAATTATCTTTTCTCGTAATCGACGTTTTTGTTCTACAACTGCTGCAAACATGTTATAAATTTAACTGTACCATTTAACATGCAAACAAAAATATGACAAAAAAAGATTTTCCGCTGAATTCAGGATGCTTATAACTTCTGATTAGCTTCAAGATCATGAAGACTGAAAGATTTGGTAATTTTTGTCTTAGAATTTTAGTTAGCTCCTTTTATTTATTTGATAGAACAAGGAAATAAGGGTTGAAATTGTAGAAGATCATTAAAATATTCAACTGAATAGAAGAAGAAAGAAAGAACAGGAAAGATCATTAGTGGGGTTTTAACTTTTTAAGGCTTCTAGAGAACAAGATATGTATCGCTGCAACAATTTGGTTTGTAAACCTTTTAAAATTATTTCTCTACTCTCATTATAAATTTTTTCACGTTTAATACCCAATATAATATTTTCTACTGCTTGAAGAATGAAGGATAGGAGGTGTATCTTGTATATCCAAAAAGGAATAGAATTACAGCTTCCATATCATGCATATTATTAGCGTGAGTTAAGCTCTTATCCTACTACAAATCTTTATCCTAAGATGCGCTATTTCCCGTTGTTTCCTTTCTTTGTGAGGTTTGAAGCTAAATATTTTTAGGGTATTATGTGTAGTTTATATTAAAAAAGAACTCCAGTCTTAGGTGATTTACAATTATATCCTTAAATTATAAAAATATTTAAGATTATAAAAGTCAATCAATACTTTGGGGATATTTTAGTCGTTCAATCTTTAACCTAAATTATTCGTGCTTTTATAATAAATATAAATATAGATATAAATACAGATAAATAAGTAAGTCCACTTTTGTTTTCAAGGTTCAAGCAAACGTGGCGAGTTAATGCCAACTAAAGCTCAATGCGATAAATGTTAGAACACTCACAGTTTAACTATTAACCGAATGATAAAACTTTATAAAAAATTCATCTAATTTCATCTAGTGT